GAGCTAACAACAAAGTTATTAGCTTGGGAGCTAACAACAAACTTATTAGCTTGGTAGCTAACAACAAACTTATTAGCTTAGGAGCTAACAACACATATATATTAGCTTGGGAGCTAACACCATATCTATTATCTTGGGAGCTAACAACAAAGTTATTAGCTTGGGAGCTAACAACATACTTATCAGCTTGGGAGCTAACACCCTACATATTAGCTTAGGAGCTAACAACATATTAATTAGCTTGGACCTAACGGTATATTTATTAGCTTGCAAACTAACGCCATATACATTAGTTTGGGAGCCAACGCTTTATTTGTTAGCTTGGGGAAAAAAAATATTAGCTTGGGAGCTAACACCATATAAATTAGCTTGGGAGCTAACACCATATACAGTATATTAGCTTGGGAGCTAACACCAAATTTATTAGCTTGGACCTAACGGTATATTAATTAGCTAGCAAACTAATGCCATATACATTAGTTTGGGAGCTAATGCTATATTTGCTAGCTTGGGCGCTAACACTATATTTTTTAGCTTGAGAGTTACAGCTGTATTTATTAGCTTGGGTGATGACGCACCATATATATTAGCATAGGAGTTTAAGCTACATATATTAGCTTGAGAGTTGCTGCCATATTTATTATATTGGGAGCTACCATTAAATTTATCACCTTGGCAGCTACTGCTATATTTATTAGCTTGGTAGCTACCGATGTATATATTAGCACTGGAGCAATCGTCGTATATATTGCTCAAGAGCTAATGTTGTATATATTAGCTCTGGAGCTARAATTTCAAATATTAGCTCAGATTAGTTAATTTAAAAGTGTTAAACATCCGACATCACTCAAAATTAACCTTAAGCTGGACAAAACTCACATCAGAGCAACAATAAACGTCATCATTTACCCAGAATGCTTTGTGGCGTACATACGATGGCAGCATGCGTGTGATATAGTTGTTTAAATATAAAAACTAAACAGCCTACAGTATTTTTAGTCTTGTTTTTATAGTTGAAGTTTATCAAATATTCTTTAATGTTGTAGCCAGGCAGAGATCCTTGAAGTCCTGCAGCAGTTTTTAACTTCCTGGCAGAGGAGACAAGCCCGTCTCTGACCTTTACTGGACGTGTAGAGCAGAGCCGCCTGGAAACAGGCCAGAGACGAGTCCGCCAGAGAGTCCTCGATGGACATCTGGACGGCGAAGGCAGAGTCTGGGTTCACGTTGGCCAGAGACAGCAGGTCCGTGGAGCGCACGAAGAAGTTCCCGTGGAACGTGTGGATGGACAATCCTGCAGGACGAGAACAAAGGGTTAAATAAAATAACAGAGCGGTCGACGTGCAGCAGGCGGCGTCACAGCTCCACACCTTTAGTGCATCGTATTCTCATGACGGCCTCGAAGCCGATCTTCCTGCTGAGGTAGCGCTCCAGATCCTTCTGGAACTTCTCCAGCTGGGCCGGGTTGTGGGCGTGATGGAAGGACGGGTAGTAGAAGACACTTCCTGCTGAGTACTTGGACATGCAGGCTGGGGGGTGGGGGGCAGAATAAACAACAAGTGATGTCATTAATGAAAGATCTCAGCCTCTTTTTCCTCCTGAGATGTATTTACTGTTTTTTTTTTTAAACTTGTCCTCACCGAGCGAAGCCAGGTCGGCGTACTGCGAGCTGAGGAGAAACAGATCCACTCCGATCTGCTGTCCCGAGCAGTCCAGAGCCAGTTTCTTATAAAAATCTGTCGCAGGGCCGAGGTGCTGCACGCTCTGAAAGAATATTAACAAAATTAAGTTTTGTTGATAAACGTTTAAATCACAMGACATAAAGGATGTAGATAAAGCAAAAAAAAATTTTCAGCTATAAAACAATGTGATTTTTGAAATTTTTGGGAATTTATTTCAACAAAATATAAATCATCTCTAATTGGTGACATGATTGTGCACAAAAAGTAAGAAACTTATAATTTTGTTGCTTCTTGACAATAAAACTAATTTATTTCTTCTTAAATGGCACCACATTTGTTGGAAAAACACATTTCTGTGTTGGGACCATGAAAAACATCTCCTGTTGTGGCTGCGTATGGTTCTTCCACATGCTACTGACACCTGTTGTTGAATGAACGAGTTGTTAAATTTAAAAAAATGTTTAGTTTATTCAGGCTTTAAACATCCAATTCAATAAACAGCAGCAACAAGAAGTGTTTGGCAACAGCAGAAAAAAAAACAAGTTTTTCGAGGTGACATCCTACGTAATCACCTCAGAAGCTCCGCCCACAAATCTTTTTTTTCTCTCTCATTTAATGTGGCTTTTTTTCCGACAATATAAGATTTATTGCCAAGAAGCAAGAAAGAAATAATCAACCAAATACACAATGCTTTACTTTTTCTAGGTACCAAACTTGTAGACGTATTTCCTATCAGGAAAACCCGTTGAGTTTAGTAAAAAAAAATTTAAAAAAGGATAAAAAAGGTGGATAATGAGAACCTTGGTGCTGGAGCGCTGGTTGGGGTCTTCTCTCGACTGCAGCTTCCCGGCGCCCAGCGTCGGCAGCTGAGWCTGGAAAACGGTGACGCGGCCGCCGGTGGGCGACATGAGCTTGAAGGCTGCCTGTAAGGCCGGACCCAGGGCGCTGTGCGTCTCTCTRCTCTGACTGAACATGGCAGGAAGTGACGTCAGCAGCTCTTTCACCAGCTGCAAGCCAGGACAAAYATTGACACTGAAACATTTTAGCTAAACTGAATTTGGATTTCCTRAAATAAGATTAAGAGACATAAAAACCAAACTTTACCTCGTGGCTCTCCTTTAGGTTCACCATCAAACTGTCGTGAGACGGAATAAAGACATCTAGAGAAAAATATATAAAAAGTGACTTTGAAACAAAGTTTTCCAGATAAGAAAACATTTAAAAACATTTTCACTCTTCTTTCCTGGAAGTCATTGTTCTCTTTCCCAACAGAAGTTATCTGGAAGYTATTTAACTTTCTTTAAACATCGTGGTGCAATTTAAATTCCAGGACGGAGTCATTTAAAACTCTTCAAACAAACAWTCCCTACTGTGGATTAAAAACCTCTGATTCATTTGATTCAGATCATAACAAGAGATAAGTCTTTTAGRCAAAAGAACGTTTTCAATTTCTTGATCTTTATTAGATTGTTTTCAATTATCAGACCCCAGTGGTCCCTGTTTAGCAGCTTTAAAAAGCAGCTGTTGCCTGTTCTGTTTGTGGCGTTGTGTTTAATATATATATTTAAAAAAAAAACACCACGACAAATACCGTTTCTTATGGCTGCGCAATATATCGCAAATTTATTATCACCGCGATAACAGCCTGTGCATTAATAATATCGCAAAACAAAAATGGAATCTATATTTGGTATAACAATCTCTAAAAACATCCAAAAAGCACCAAATTAAGATTAAAATGTGTTAAACCGTCTTGTTTTATGAGCGCCTGACATTAAAGGATGTTTTTAGTCACATTAAAAACCAATAAATGCTGAAATTCTGTACGTTTTGAGTTTGTTTATGAATAAAATCAAAGTAATCAGCGACTTTTGTGGGAAAATTCCATCAGGATTAAACAAGTATATAATTTTATAA